AGATCAAGAGCTTCTGTTGTGTTCATGGCAATGTAGCTAAGTGCTCAGAGAAACCTCTGACACATACTCCCAGGGTCTAGAACACTGACATGCAGTAGGTGCTCTGTAATTATTTGTTAAATAGGTAAACCAATAAAAATCCATTAAAACCAAGTGAGAAATCATAGAAAATAAAAACAGTGATGCCTGGGCATACATTTCATATGTTGAAAACAAAAGCCTTTATCTTTAAAAAGAACTACCAGTTAGAAACCTGAATGACAAAAAAAAAATCACATTTACAGAAGCAACACAAAATATAAACTGCCTGGATATTAAAAAAATAAATGTTCAGGATCTATTTGAAAAAAAAAAAACTAAACTGCTTTAGAAAATTTCTGCTCCCCTTCTAAAGAAAACTTGAAGAAAATGGGAAATCAAAACATATTCTTAGATGAGAAGGTACAGTCATAAAAGTTAATTCTTTCTAGATTAATCTGTGGATATACTATGAATGTATTACAAAAATATTTAGACTATTCATAGTATATTTGGGGAGGTGGAAGAGATTAGACAATCAACTCTGATAGAAGAATATGCAGGCAAATCCATGAAAGCTCCATGAAAAAAGCATGATGAGATGATACAAGGTCTACAAATATTAAAATATGTTATAAACAGGATATAATTGGAGCCGCTGCTGTGGCAAAGTGGCTAAAGCTGCCACCTGCAGTTCTGGCATCCCCTATGGGCTCCATTTGGAGTCTTAGCCACTCCACTTCTGATCCAGCTCTCTGCTATGGCCTGGGAAAGCAGTGGAAGACAGCCCAAGTTCCTGGGCCCCTGCACCCACATGGGAGAACTGGAAGAAGCTCCTGGCTCCTGGCTTTGGGTCGACCCAATGCTGGCTATTGCTGCCATTTGGGGAGTGAATCAGTGGATGGAAGACCTCTCTCTCTCTCTCTCTCTCTTCCTCTGTCTCTCTTTTTTAAAAATGGACATAATTATAGCACATTGGTACTGACACATGAGTAAACAAATTATTAGAACAGAATAGAAAGCCCCAGAGGGGCCGGTGCTGTGGCTTGGTCGGCTAAGCCTCCTACTGTGGCACCGGCATCCCATATGGGCACCAGTTCATGTTCCAGCTGCTCCTCTTCTGATCCAGGTCTCTGCTTATGGCCTAGGAAAGCAGTGGGAGCTGGCCCAAGTGCTTGGGTCCCTGAACCCACATGGGAGACCCAAAGGAAGCTCCTGGCTCCTGGCTTTGGATCAGCCCAGCTCTGATCATTACAGCCATTTCAGGAGTGAACCAGCACATGGAAGACCTCTTTTTATCTCTCCTCTATAACTCTACCTCTCAAATAAATATAAAAAATATTTTTTAAAGATTTATTTATTTTACTTCAAAGCCAGAGTTACACAGAGAGAGGAGAGGCAGAGAGAGAGAGAAAGAGAGAGAGAGAGAGAGAGAGAGAGAGGTCTTCTATCAGCTGGTTCACCCCCCAGTTGGCCACAATGGCCGGAGCTGCACTGATCCGAAGCCAGGAGCCAGGAGCTTCCTCTGGGTCTTTCATGCAGGTGCAGGGGCCTAAGGACTTGGGCCGTCTTCCACTGCTTTCCCAGGCTATAGCAGAGAGCTGGATCAGAAGTAGAGCAACCCGGACTCAAACCAGTGCCCATATGGGATGCCAGCACTACAGGCAGTGGCCTTACCTGCTATGCCACAGTGCTGGCCCCTAAAAATATCTTTTAAAAAAGAAAGCTCCAGAATAAACCCAACTACATACAGAAATTTATAGGGCAAATATGTCTTTTCAAGTCAGTGGGGAAAAGATGTACATTTCAATAAACAGAATAGGGATTATAAAGTTTAACACTTATTTCACATTGTGCATCCATATAAATTGAAACTGAATTGAAATATTTTTTAAAATAAACAATGAAACAATCAAATAGAAGAAACAATGAAGGAATTCAACCAAAAACTCACATAGGAAAATATTTATAAATCTGTGTAAAAAGTTAGCATTAAAATTTTTTTTGCATGGAGAAATGTACTGGTAGAAGTAATGAAAAACAAGAGACAAAAATATATTTATGCTACACATAAAGACTAATGTTTCTAATGCATAGCTTCTAAAAGCCCAGTAACCCAAGTTTTGAAATGGGCTAAGGAAATGAACAGATAATTCATAGGAAAAAAATGCGAATAGTTTTTATAAATATTTTATCGTATACATTTAAGATGTATAACGTAATTTATTTGAGAGACAGATAGAGAGATAGAGGGAGAGAGCACCCACTGGTTCACACTCCAAGTGCTCACAGCAGTCAGAGATGGGCCAGGCTGGAGCTGGGAGCCAAGAACTGCATCAGGGTCTCCCATGGGGATGCAAGAAACTTATATCTCGATCCATGACCACTGCCTCCCAGAGTCTGCTTTGGCAAGAAGCTGGAGTCAGGAGTCAGAGGCGGGAATCAAACCCAGGTATTCAGATATGACGGAATGTGGGCATCTTAACTCCTAGCCTAACAATTGCCCCCCACAAGTACGTTCTAAGCATATGAAAAGATACTCACCATATAATAAAAAATATATTTAGAGTAAGAGAAATTCAGTTGAAAACTAATCTGAGATATTATTGTTCACCTGTCAATATGGCAAATAGTTTGATTCTACCTATGTTATCAAGATAATAGAGAAAGGTGTTGGAGTTAGATAGGACTATACTGGCCCTTGTAGCTGCTCTGTCAGTGTTTATCAAATTTGCAAGTCTCCATGGTAGCCGAACATTCTGCTTCCAGGAATTTGTCCTACATAGAATTGTGTATGTGTGAAAGGGTGTATGCGCAAAGTCCATCACTAAGACATCACTTGTACCAGGAGAAGATTGGAAACATCTTCAGTGGCTGTCGATGGGGAACAGGTTGGTTCATATATGGCTATGAAAAAGAATGGAGTAGCTCACCTTCAAGAGATATTCAGAGAAAAAGGCAGATCTGAGTAGTGTGTTAGGAGGACTATCTTTTTCAGGGGGCGGGGATGTTAGGGGACAGTCTCCAAAAGGGTGCATGTGAACCTGATGGCAAAACCTGGGGAGCCCAATTTGTGACTGGGGACAGGAACGGAAGCGAGATACGTTGCTGTGAAATAATACAGATCTTTTGATTTTTTGAATCATGTGTATTCACCTGTGGTTAAAGTCACATTAGCTGCCAGGAGGCAGGATGGGCAGGGGAAGCCACACCTAAATGGTTATCAGAAGAGCCAGACTGAAGGATCTGCTCCTCCACCACCCTGCCGGCCAGCCCTCGGCCAGCAACTTCCCCACTTAAGGCTATCCGAGAAGGCTCAGAGAAAATCATTTCTAACGTCCTCTCTCACTTTGACATCCGGAGATATAAATCGCAGTTTTTCCTCACACGTTTCCTAAGTCGTCTCTCTACCTCCTCCTTGCCTCGGCAGCTCATCAAAAGCTCAGAGGAAAAGACAGACAATTGAAGAAAATAAAATTGCAAAGATGACTTTTATAGGGCTCCTGTTGAATCATTGTGTATTCCACCTCCAAAGCTGAAAATGATGAGTTTAATATCACACAGAGCAGTGCATCTTGTATCTCTCAAAAGACAGCTTATGCTACCCAGAGAACTGGAGCTCAGCAAGACATAATTTTTCACTCCAACTCTGAGGCAAATGAAATGACAGTCATCAAGCCCACATTCTAGAAGCAACATGGATTTCATTTGGTTTTAACTTCGTTTGAAAGTGTCCCAAGGAGGGAGATTCCCTCTAAATGTGGACTTTCCATTTTCCCCAGGACTACACGCTAGGAAAAAGGAATAGAACAGGGGCCAGGATTTGCCTTGGCAGCCTCCAGCGTTGGTCACTGGTGAGGACCAGTTGAGTCGGGAGGCTGGGTGTCAGTCTCAGTTGTTCCACAAGCTTGGACATGTCCCTTTCCTGCGGGGGTCCATTATGGTGTCTGGGACAATTTCTCAGGGATCATTTGTTCAGTCACTGTGCACACAGCTACCCAGAATCCTTCGCTTACAGGCACTGGGCTCTCCATAGCCCCCTACTTTCAGGGAAGACTCTAAGATAACGCTGCCCCAAGCCAGGAGGTGTGCAATGTGCAAACAGTAAGCAGAGGCAGACTAGCCAGTGTCTGCTTTGCAGATTACAAAGCGCCCACCCTCTTGCATAGGAGGAGTCTTCAAAAAATTCATAGGAAATGGATATTATGAAAAATCTGTGCTTGGAGTTCCACATTTTCCATGAGCTACTTGAACATCTCATATGTGCATGATTTTCAAATCTTTTTTGCACAAAAGTAAATATATCTATTCATTCCAGTTTCCACAATCTTTTTCAAATACTATCATATTTGCATATTACTGGGGAGTAGCCACAAAAAAAAAATGTGACCAAGGCTTCATCTGTAAAGAGCAGCACCAGCGTGGGTCATGTGCAGTGAATGACAGTGATTATTGCTGTTGGGTTCCTACTGCAGCTCTCCAGGGTTGGAACTGAAATACCCATTTTTTCAGTCAAAAAGCTGAGGCTCGAAAGTGGGGATTTCCAGGCCCAAGCTAGAAATTACCAGACTGGAGCAAACCTGCAAACAGGCTCAAAGTAAATACAGTTAGGTTATGTGGAAGGTAGTTCTCATTAATCAGAGAAGTAAATTCCAGTCGTGTCTGGCCATGAATGTGTTAACTGGTCCCGACCCGACCCACCAACCTCGCTTCTACAAAAGACTAAAGAGGGTGCCCGGGGAAGGCCTCTCAGGGCCAGAGTGCAGGTAGTGTCAAAGTGAGGCGGGCGGGATTGGTCTCCACCTGCCTCAAACCCTCCATCTCATTGCAGATGGCTGCTGAATCTGCTGACCCATGGGTGGTGTGTGTGTGTGTGTGTGTGTGCCCGCACACACGTGTGTACACACATGCGTGTTGTCTGGTTCCTTGAAGGCAAGTTCTCCAGCCCCACACTTCTCTTGCATTGCCCCCTCTCTCAACAGAAAACAAGCCTGGAGTTTTACATTGACATTCACGCCCACTCCACCATGATGAATGGCTTCATGTACGGCAACATCTTCGAGGATGAGGAGCTGTTCCAGAGGCAGGCCATCTTTCCCAAGCTCCTCTGCCAGAATGCTGAGGACTTCTCCTACGTAAGCCAAGAGCCCCCTCCCCCAGCCCGCCCCAGCCTCCTCAATGCCCCCACCCCCATCGGCACCCCCTCCCATCTCCCTCTCACCCCCTCCCTCCCTTCCTTCTTGCACAAGTCTTTCCGGTTTAACCTTTGTGAGAACGCCCACTCTGCGCCAGGGCTTGCTTGGAGGATAAAGACAGAGGCAAACAAGCTAAGCCCATGGCCTCAGCAGCTCTGCCCAGTCAGGGTGGGAGAGCTTTGAAAGGGTGGTGCTGGGGCTGTGTGATGAGTTGGATTCACCAGTGAACGAGAGTCCAGTGTTCACCAGAGAGGGAAACGCTCCGAGCACCTGCCATGTGCCAGACCCTGGCCCAGGTCTGTTTCCGTCCACCCCAGTTCTTCCAGTTGGAGCAGAGCGTGTCTGCCGAAGGGGTTCTGCAGCCACCACACTCTGCCTCCATGGCTCTTTCTGGGACTCCCGTTCTTCGCCAGTGATTGCTAGCTGATCATTCCCTACCCTGCCGCACCGTTTGTCATTTGGGAGGACAGCCATGGGTTGCTCTGGAGGCACTGAGCACTTTGACAAGCCCCGGAGCCTGCTCCTGTTCCAGCCCACCTTGCTTGTGAGGAGGTCTGGGGAGCTGTGGGGTTGGCGGTAGAGAAACGTACAGCTAAAAGCAGAAGGAGGGGGCTCAGAGGGTGGTTATGGCGACATGGGAGAGCGTTCCAGCACATTTTGCTCTGTTTTGCTGCTGAAGCTCTGAGGCCTGTTATTTCCACGAGGCCAGTGCAGAGTACACAAAGGTCACAGCGATTTTTGAAGTTGATGAGCTGAAAACTCACCTGCCCGTTGCTTCAGGCCTGGGCATTAACGGAGATGATGAATTTCTCTGCTCAGTAAGAGGCACTTTGAATCTTTGAATGTCGGACCAAGAAAGGACCTGGGACATTGTCCAGGCCCCTCTTTCTGCCCAGGAGACACCCACCGCCCAGGAAAGTTGAGCATCTACTTCAAGGCTACCCAGAATCCAGTGGTAGAATCAAAGCAGGTGGCTCCCCACATGCAACCGTGACACAGACGCAGCCATACTTGTTCCTATAGGGGTATCCAGAGGATGGCCAGCCCTGACCTTTTTAAACCACTGTCATCTCAGAGTAGTCTGAGGCTTCCTGAGTCCCAGTCCCCTCTGCAAATCTGGCTCATAGGTCTCAGAGATCCTCAAAGGGTGAGGTTTCCAGGGCCTGCAAAGGGGGACAGGCTGGGAGCCTTCCTTCTGGCCTTTTCTCGTCATGTTCCCGCACTGCCCCCTCCTTAAGAGCTCAGGGCTGGAGTCAAGTTCCTGTATCCTGCACTCGCTGTCCTTCTCTGATCCTCAGTGCCCAGTTCTAAAACGGGAGAGCTGGATTTCACAACATGGATTTCGAAGGCCTTTCAGACCTGACGTTCTATGTTTTTCGGATGTTTCCCTATGCTTCTAAATAAATACACGAACACATACAGACATTTCTGTTCCTCTCACTCTTTCTCTGTGTCTCTTTTGTTTTTATTTTCCTCTCTTTTACTTTTTTTCTTATCTCCTACTGAACATGACCCCCATTCTCTCATTCAAACCGAAGTCTATTCACTTACTGAGACTTCCTTGGGTTAGTCCTGGACGCACTTCTAACCTCCAGTGGGCTGAAAGAGATGTGATTGTCACGTCCACTTTACAGATGAGGAAAACCGAGGCTGTGACAAATCAGGTGACTTGCCTAACTTCCCGCAGTCAGTAGGTAGACAGTTTGGGTAGAGGACTTGTGACTCTGGCTGGCTTGTACTTTACTTCCTGTGTCCACGGTGATGGGTGCTGCCAACTCCCTAGTAAAGTGGCCCCCACGTCCTTGCAATGCCGGACACGAGCTGAGCTCTCCCTGGCAGAGGGGAGATGGGGTGACAGGAGTCACTTATCCTCAGTTCAAATCCATGAATCACTTACTTGCTCTACCTCTGCGAGCCTCTGCTTACTGGTCTATGGAGAGGTAATAAGAGGTACTTATTCTGAAGTCTGAACAAGATACTACTCAGAGAACAAGGTTATAAAGTTGAAAGCGCTGCCCAAATTTCAGTTCTAATTATCTTCCTAATATAGTTGCTTCCTACTTTTTCCTGCCTGTCTGTCCCCACTCCAACTTCCACTAATATTTATTTTTTTTAAGATTTATTTATTTTACTTGAAAGTCAGAGTTACACAGAGAGAGGAGAGGCAGAGAGAGAGGTCTTCCATCCGATGGTTCACTCCCCCAATCGACTGGAACTGCACCGATCCGAAGCCAGGAGCCAGGAGCTTCTTCCGGGTCTCCCACGTGGGTGCAGGGGCCCAAGGACTTGGGCCATCTTCTACTGCTGTCCCGGGCCATAGCAGAGAGATGGATGGGAAGTGGAACAGCCGGGTCTTGAACTGGCGCCCATATGGGGTGCCGGTGCTTCAGGCCAGGGCTTTAACCCGCTGTGCCACAGCGCCAGCCCCCCACTAATATTTACTAAACGGCAATTACTGTGCCTCAAGCACTCTGCAGGATGCTTTCGTTCAATTACATGTGTTTATTCAATCTTCATCTGGGTCCTGTGACGTAGGTGAAAACCCCACTTTTCAGATGAGGAGGCCGAGCCCCTGAGGTGTTGTGTAAGTTGCTCAGGCTCCAAGAGCAGTCAGGCACTGAGCCCAGATTCTCTCGTCTACTTGGCTTTCACAGTCCAGCACATCCTTTAACCGGGATGCCATGAAAGCAGGAACTGGCCGCCGCTTCCTTGGGGGACTCCTGGACCACACTTCCTACTGCTATACGCTAGAAGTCTCCTTCTACAGCTACATCATCGGGGGTACCACCGCTGCTGTGCCGTACACTGAAGAAGCCTGTATCCTTGGCGAGAGTCCCTACCCATCCCTGGGCCAGCCCTCACCTGGCCAGGAGTACCAAGTCTATATGAGTCAGGTCAGGAGTTCAGTCTCTAGCTCAGGTAAGAGCCCAAACTCTGGCGGGGAGGATGGAGGTGGCTGGTTCTGCTGGTGATGTCACAGGACTGTCCTCTTTGCTACCACTTCCGACTTCCGTATGAACACACACACCCTCCCTCCACCACACCCCAAGTCTCCCTCGCACCCCTGGACCCATGGCTTGCCGTGGCTTGCAGCTCTCTCACCTTCCTCTCTCCCCTCCCTGGGTTGCGAGTCTTCTGCCATCTAAGGCGTGCTCAGTGTGTAGGCTGGGGGACCTCGCGCAGCACTGCTGAGGAGTGGTTTGATGTCGTGACTCCTCCTGTAATCCTGAACATGCAAAATCTTCTTTCCTGTTTTCCTCCTCTGTCTTCGTGTGCTCCTGCCAGCTCACTTTCCCTTCCTCATATTCACTATTTTTCCTTTGACTCATCTTTTTCTCCCCTGTCCCCTCTCTTCTCCTCTCTCCCCCAAAGCCTGTCCTGTTTTCCACTCCCTACTTCTTGCTTCCCCTTCATTCCCTCCTTCCCATCTTTGCTCCTGTTCCTGCCCTTCCCTCCTCTCCCCTCCTCACCTCTCCCAACCCCTCCTCTCCTTTCCCCTCCTCTCCCTTTCTCTCTTCTCCTCTTCTCTCCTCCTCTCCTTTCCTCTCCACTCCCCTTCTCTCCTCTCCCCTCCCATCCTCTCCTCTCTCCTCCCCCCTCCTCTCCTCTCCCCTCCCCTTCCCTTCCTCTCCTCTCTCCTCTCCTCCTCTCTCGCCCTTTTCTCCTCTCCTCTCTTCTCCTCTCCTCTCCTCTCCCTTGTCTTTCCTTGCTCACCCTCTGTGCAGCTGTCTCTCTGACATTGTATTTCCTTTGACAATTTTTTTTTTCTCTTGGTTTTCTCATAACATTTCTGTGGAACCTCCTAAGCTCTCCATGATGAAATTAGAGGTTGCTTTCTCATTTGCTTGATCTTCTTAGGGATTATCTGGAAATTCCATCTTCCTGAGTGTTATTTTAATTTTAAAGACACAGGGTCAGGGCTGAGACAGATTCTGCTCTCCTTTGTCCTTTTGTCTTTGGGTTGACCCATTTCTCCTTTCCTAACACTTTTTCTCAGAGAAGGAATTACAGTGGAGGGAGGAGAAAGGAAAAGGGTGGAATGAACTCCATATCCCTCAGTACCAGTGGGGAACTGGTTCCAGGAACCCTGGGGATACCAAAGTCTGCAAATGTTCAAGACCCTTCTATCAAATGATGTGGTATTTGCATATAAACTACATTCTCCTGTGTACTTCCCATAATCTCTAGATTATTTATAATACCTAATGCAATGTAAATGCTAAGCAAACTGTTTAGTGAGCATTGACAACAAAAAGAAGTC